CTAATTACCCAGGGGGTGTTTAAGAATCAACCACTTTGCTGTTAGTTTGGAGGCACATGTCGACCAGACCAGTTAACGAGTTTCTAAATAACATCAGAAAAATATTGGTGAACAATTATTAAACTTTTCATTCCACATTTTTTAAAGCTTAAATTTCACCATCGTCCCTGGTCAGATTTGAACCAAAGTCACCAGATGATTAGCCTAGATTCTGATTTACAAGCCCAGTGACATTACCACTACATCATTGCCTCCCAATGATATTTCATCTAGGTTTTGTTTGTTAGTCTCAGGGTTATGTCCCCGGTGCAGATTTCTACTTGGCTTCCATATTTACAGTTCAGAATTCCAGTGCTCTTGCAAATAGGTAGAAAAGCCTCAGTCAGAAGAAGTCTGGATTTGAGTGTGTGTTTACAGCAGGGAGAGAGAGATTGTTAGTCTCTCAGAGAATCGAGGGATTTGGGGAAGAGGGATGGATTAGTGTTTGATCACAAAGAATAGTGGAGCAGGCTTGATGGGCTGAATGGCCCACTCCTGTGGGCTGGGCTACACATCTACAATCGGTTGGCACTGGCAGTTCTGAGAACGCAGTGTTACTTTGGGGAGAGGGGTACAGAGCAGAGTTCCCTGCAGAGTGGAGGCTGTGTCAAAGAGAGAAGGCACGCAGCCTGCAGCTACGTGCAGGTGAAAGCACATTGACCTGGCCAGCTGCACACTAACCGGATGTCCTTGATGGTGGTCCGCTTCATGGGGTCAACCTGCAGCATGTGTTTGAGGAGGCCAATGATGGCTGGGTTGAGGTACTGCGGTGTGTAAAAGATACCATCACAGATCTTCTTGAAGAGCATGGGGACGTGATCATCATCAAACGGGAGGGTACCACACAGCAGGGCGTAGAGGATTACCCCACAGCTCCAGATATCCACTTCAGGCCCAGCATACAGCCTGGAGAGAGACAACACACACGGCTCACACGACACTTGTCAATTACTCAGCACCGCCCCACCCCACCCCCAACCCCGAGTTCACCTAGGCCATACACACACGGGCTGCGTGCATTCCCTGGATCAGCACACCCAGAAACAATGGCAGGAGAAATCGCCCACCCCCACCATCTTGTAAAGCAGGGCTGATCCTCATCCTGAACCCAGCCCACATTCACACCATGTCCTCCCGCATCCAGAACCCTCCCTGTCTCAATGTCAGAACATCCATACGCTCAGAAGAGAATTCCAAAGATTCACAACCTGCTGGGATTTCACAACTTCCAAACAGCATGACACTTGTTACAGGTGATTTTTTTCCTTCCATACACAGAGTCAGGCCCTCACCTGTACAGACACATGACTAGTCCCCATACACAAACACAAATCCACTCAGCGCCCTTCGCAACACAGACACGTGCATACAGACATTCGCTCACACAGTCACACACGTGATGGCGATGGCCTAGTGGTATTATCGCTGAACTGTTAATCCAGAGACCGAGGTAAGGTTCTGGAGACCTGGGTTCAAATCCCGCCACGGCAGATGGTGGAATTTGAATTCAATAAAATATCTGGAATTAAGAATCCAATGATGATCACAAATCCATTGCTGGTTGCTGGAAAATACCATCTAATTCTTTAGAGTCACCATGTGACTCCAGACTCACAGCAATGTGGTTAACTCTTAACAGCCCTCTGGGCCATCAGGGATGGGCAATACATGCTGCCTAGCCAGTGACACCCTCATCCCGTGAATGAAAGAAAGCGATATGCGCTCACACGCTGTCACTGGTTCATACAGATCTGTGTAGGGCTGCGTGTGTGTGTGTGCGCGTGTGTGTCAGCTCAGATGCGCTCTCTCTCTCTCACACACACACACATTATGCCCTACACAGGCCCGTGTGAGCGAGTGTGCGTGAGTGACAGCGCATGTGCTCACTCACTCAGATGCTCTCTCTCTCACACTCACATACACACACACATATTGTGCCCTGCACAGGTCCTTGTGTACAAGCACTCACTCATATGCACTTTGCTGAGAATCTCCCAGGGAATGTCTCCATGTAACATGGATGGTGAACAGTGATTGACTTGGGGTTGCCGGGGATGGTATCTGTGCTACAGTCTGGGGTGGGTGAGGGATTTGGAGGAGAGTATGAACACAGTTTGCACAGTGTGCTGTCAGTACCTTCCAGAAATGACCTCGGGGGCAGCGTAGTTGGGGGAGCCACAGCTCGTGCGCAGGAACTCTCCGTCTGACATCATGTTCGAGAGGCCTGGTCAGAGAGGCAAACGGGGCAACTGGTTAGCGCAGATCACACTGTCACAGCACAGCGAGAGAACACAGCTCAGCAACAGGCATTAGGGGAGCAGTGACCAGGCTGTACCTGTTGTAAAACTCCCATTTCTTAT